TCAGGCTTCATCTCCAGTAGGAGGTGTGCAGGAGGCTGCTGATCAATGACTCTTATCATTGATGTTTCTGCCTCTCTCCCTTCCTCTCTCTGAAATCAATAAAGACATTTAAAAAAAAATGTATATACACAGACAGATGCCCCCCCAACTTTCAAATTCCAATCCATAAAACAATATAATACCCAAAGTAAGGGCGCTGGGCGTGGTGGCTCAGTGACATGGGGCTTGTTTCCAATCCCAGTGAAGCAGTCACTCTCAGGTATCTTCAGTTAATGGATTACTTATTAGGGCAAAGGCTCTAAATGCCACCTTCCTAATAAAACACGTCACCATATTTAATGTGTAAAAAGCTGATGCTTTTGCTTGGATCGTGAGACCATGCATTCGTTCAGTAGGTTCTTGTTGAACCCTTGCTTATGCGTAAGCCTGTGGTTCCATGGTTGCCAAGTGATACTTGGCAAACACCTTGCAGGTAGTCAGTGGTCCTGAGACTGCACTAAGTAACATGCAAATGAAAGCCCCCCTAATAATTTCCTAAGTTCTGATTTAACGCAGAATCATTTTGCTTATAGATACAGAATAATTTTCAGGGAAGATTATATGATGCAGTAGTGTGCTTCTCTGTCCACATGTGGAAAGTTCATGCTAGACAATGTTTGTAAAATGATAAAGCCTATTTTGACTCTATTTATAGGCTATGTTTTTGTTCCTGTGGAATATTAAATAGAACCATTTCTGTTTGGCTCTATTTATAAGCTATTCTTCTTCCTTATTAATAATTAAATAGAACAATCCCACCCATGTACAGCAGTAGCCCCTTTCCTTGGTGACTGAGCTCTGGTGGCCACAAGCAGCAGTGCTTTCTGGAACTCACTTCATTTCTTCAATCTGAGGGCTTAGTCCCTAAAACAAGGCTATTGAAGGTTTTGTTAAATTAGCACTTTGAAAGGTCACAAGTAATAGGATTGCCTTTAATCTGAAACTATTAAGTTTAAGATTCATAATATATACAAAATATATTTTCTTTTCCAAATTGCATCTGTGTTAGGATAATGATATTTGCTTTCCTTTTAATGCATTTTTAACACTTTGATATTTACCACATTATCAAAGAACAATATTTATTAAGTGATTTCATTTACTAAGTAGGAAAGAGTTAGCAGCAGGCCTGCAACTTTAACTCAATTACAAATCACGTTTACCTTAATAGATCATGTTATTATGCTCATTTTACATAAGAATTAGAAGGTTTAATTTTCTACTGATAAAGCCTCATTATATATAAATATAACAGAAGAGGATATTTGAGCTAGGTACCTGTTTAGAGTATTCTCATTATATAGTCATACCTATAAATTGCTTTATTCTAGTATATTTTTAAAAATGGTTGCAATAAGAGTTAACCATTGTACCTATTTTTTTTTTTTTTTAATTGTAGCTGAACCACTTTGAGTTTGTTTTTAGGTTATTGTTCCTTCTTCCCATAATAAACTGTTATTTTGTATAGCATCCAATATTGCTATTTAGTTACTTCTGTGAGTTTGTCTTCCTCCTAAAATTTATGTTTCTTGAAATAAGGGACCATGTATTTAATATTTCCTGTATCTTCAGAAGTGCTTAGTTAGACCTTAGGCCTAGAGTATTTGCTTGAAAAATACTTGCAGAATTGCACTGACGTTTAAAGAGAATGACTGTTTTCCAGGTAGAAGGAGACAAACGTGAGATGTTATTTTAAAAGGCTAACTGGCTGCTCAGTGTGGGTCTTGGAAGGCCAATTGAGAATAAAAACTAGAATCATCAAGAAAACTGTAACATTCATTGTTGGCCACTTAGCAGAGGTTTGTGCTTAAACTATATGAGAAACTATTTTAAAATTGAAAGGTGACTTGAGCATGAAATCAGAGCAGGCGGGTTATCGGATGAGCTGACTGTCATCAAGGGAGGGTAGCTGGATGCATTGGTCTCTGTCATAGGGACTGATATCTGTGAGGGCTGATAGTAAATAAAGGTGGGGCGTCAGGGAAGCCTTTCTCCTGGGTGGGCCTGGAAACATGTTACTAAATTCTTCCTTATCTACTCCTATTTCAGGCTTCATACAAGATACACCTTTTCCTTTAACCCAGTATTTGTTCATGCAGGTTAGAGTTTAATTGATGGGGCCTTAGCTATTTCAGTTCTACTCATTTAAGCTCACAGTTCAGGCATTTTAATTGGAATCTGAGTATGAGTAGTTACTAGAACAGCCCAATCAATTCACAGATCATAATTTTGATTAAATTATTTCTTCAGGTAAATTTTCTAACTCATACACTGTATTTTTTCATAATTTCTTTTCAGGAATTTATCCTTTTTTTGGGGGGGGTGCATGTAGATTTACAAACTAGAAAGACATATTCAGGACTTTTCAACTAATGAAGTTTGACAGCATGAAATAAAATTATAGGCAAAAAGTTATAGGCATCCTAGCTCAAACAAATGACACCCCAATGGAGGGAAGGAGTAGCCTTCCTATATGAAAGCTGATATGGGGTGTGTGTGCATGCGTGTGTGCGTGCGTGTGTGTGAACACTATTTTTTAAAGTGTCTCATATGGAAAACAAAAATATTTTTCAATTAATACAGTTATGTTTGGCCTCCCACCCTAGTTCTTTCTCTTTGTTCTATGGGCAGAATCTCTCTTCATATCAGTCCATGAACTAGAATTTATTTTATTTTATACTCTAGTGGTTCAACAAATAGCTATATTTTTGAGGCCTGCTACATTTTCAACATTCACAGAAAAATAAGTTGTTTCTTCTGGACTTCTCCAGACTATGTGGCATTTTGTAGAGAGAACAGGGAAATTGGATTCAGAAGGAGCTGGCGGCATTAGATTATTCGGTACTGGATTGTGTGCCCTTACTCACTTGCTCAGTGTCTCTGAGCCTCAGCTTACTCTCTTTTCTTATAAAATGGCCTTCGCAATAATAACTGTCTCAGTTTACTTAGTGTGAATGTGCTTTGTTTCTAATAGGATTTGGGAAGGAAAAATCTTTTATCCCTGTCATGAATCCAAACTGGATGATGTATTTTGATAATCGCTGGCATTTTGCAGTATATATATCATTTAAGAATACTTGCCTTTCTCAAACTTTTAAAATTGTATATGTTTGGGTAAGTAGTCTTTGGGAATTCAATCTAGTCAGAGATGATGTATTCTAATACATTCATATGACCAAAGTATAAATGAAATTTATCATCATAACAGTAGAGGGAAGTTTAAATTGTAAATTTTGGAGACTATGTTATGAAGAGTTTATGGGGTTTTATTTCTCATCATATAAAAGTTCTAAGACTTTTTGTTTCTCTGTGTTTGACTTTACTATCATGTGTGATGGATCATAAGGCCTAGAAGAAACAGTGTGACCAGTAAAGTCTGTGATTAAGACTGGTTACCTTTTTGTAGATAGAAACCCATTCTTTTATATTTGTGGTTAAAAGCAAATTATTTTCTTTTAAATATGTGTGTAAGATAGTTTTTGAGTCCCAACCACTCTGCAATATTTTCCACTGTCATCTCTCCTTGATATTTATGAATTGTGAAAGTTGAATTACATTTTTTTAGGACACTTCATTAGCAAAAACTGGGAACACAGGAGGGGCTGGTGAACATCTCCATAAGTGGAGAATTACTTTTTGTAAATATATATCACAGTAATGGAAATGTTTTAATTGACTGTTTACCAGCCATTGCTGAAGTCAGGGTGTCTGCTTAGGGGACAGAAAATTATTTTAATTTGAATTTTGACTAGTAGTCTTTGAATCTTATTTAATTCCAAATGTAAATATGGCTGGTATTTTCTCTTCTTTCTAGGAATAGAAACAGCTAAGAAAGGGTATCAGATTGATATGAAAACTGAAGGCCTTTCAATAACAAGGGCAGACAGATAAATGCACAGGAGTAATAAATAGTCTTTGTGGAGGAGTAAGACAGCTTAAGCATGGGGTTCTTATGAGTATTAAATATAGAAATATAATTTAGCTATTATAAACTATTACCAATTAGTGGAGAATGAATATGGAGCACAAATTTAACTTTTAGAGCCTTCAAGTCATCATTTTGGGCAGCCAAGATTTTCAGAGCAAGTTATAGCTTCAAATGATCACTTTTGAGGAGAAAATTAGTGTTAGGTAGATATTTTTTCTAATAATTGACTGCCTTACTAATCAGAGCCTCGTGAACTTAGCTTTTTTATACTACTTAGGGTTTTGATGAGCATAAACGATAGGGCTGCATTACTATCATTGGATTTAAGAGATATTCCGATAACCAGAGAAATCCAGATTTTCACACCTTCACATTTTCCATTTTTATTCTGTTGTAGAGGTGGAAATATCTGCTTTTGAAAAAAGAATAAATAGACACTAATAGTGGCCTTGTCTACCTTTTAAATCTTTTCCTCTACTGGGAAGAATCTTCAAGCAAGATCTGTACGTTCATCTCAAATTCCCAAACCTTAAAAGCGACATAAAACTCATCAGGGCTGATGTCAGGCCAATGTCAGTAGATGGTGCCTCGCCGTTGCCTTCTAATTGTGTGGACTGATGTGACCATGTGCTCTGAATCCTGAGCAGTTTTGCGTTAGTGACAACTCACAGTTCAATTCAGGAAGCATTTTTGAGTATCTATATACTCATGAATGAAGGAACAAAAGGTAGAAACCAGTTCATTCTCTCAAAGGAGTTTAACCTTAGAAAGTGGAAAGTCTTGTTAGTGGCCAGCCGCAGTGCAAGGCTGACCAAATAACCCCCCGGCTTCCTGAGCTCCAGTAATGTTTTTCGAATAAATGCAGGCAGGTCTGTGGCGACTTTTTATTTGGTTGTGTGTGTGTGTGTGTCTGTATTACATATACACATATACTATATTATATACAATAAATACACAGTTATACATAGATGTCTATATTTATATAAGTATTTTGGACTTATATTCATCTAACATTTTCTGTTTTATTCAACAGAAATCTTCTTGACAGAGACACATTTTCTAAATCTGATCCAAGTAAGTATCTGTTTACTTGCTTTTGAAAGCCTGCTTATTTTACTTCCTGATTTTGCATAAATTGTGTGGAACTGATAGTTCTTGTTTAAATACTTGTTTTAAAGCATAGAAAGAAAGAAGGGGAGCAGCCTCAAGCCCTGCATGCTCGTCTTTCTGGGCAGCACTCTGCTGAAAAAAGGAAGTTGCTTAGCATTTTAAGACTAGGATGAAAGTGCAGATGACTCCAATGTAGGACAGTTCACCTGTGGAATTCCAGTCTCATGGCATGGCCACATGGCAGAAATTACGTTCGGTAAACAGTCCTATGGGCGTGGGCTGCAGAATGGCTGTTGTGTTAGCAGGCATGAAAACAATTGCACGTCTCCACCAGAGCTCGTGGATGACCAGGTGTATTGTTGATGAGCAGTAATATTTTGAAAAGAATCTTTTTTTTCTCCTGAGCAGTAGGTCTCAGCAGCGGGCTTAAAATATTCAGTAAATCATATTGTAAACAGATGTGCTGTCCTCTGGGCTTTGTTGTAGATTTAGCATAATTTTTAAGGGCCCTAGGATTTTGGGAATGGTAAATGAGCACTCGCTTCAGCTTAAAATCACCAGCTGCTTTAGCCCCTAACAAGAGAATCAGCCTGTCCTTTGAAGCTCTGAAGCCAGGCATTGCCTTCTCCTCTGTAGCTATGAAAGTTCTAGATGGAACTTTCTTCCAAAATAAAGATGTTTTGTCTACATTGAAAATCTATTGTTTAGTGTATCTACCTTCATTAATTATCTTAGCTAGACCTGCTGGATAACTTGCTACAGCTTCTACATTAGCACTCGCTACATTCACTTCACATTTTTATGTTATGGAGATGGCTTCTTATTGTAAACCTTACAAACCAACCTCTGCAAGCTTCAGACTTTTCTTCTGCAGCTTCCTCACCTCTGTCAGCCTTCAGAGAACTGAAGAGAGTTAGGAATTTGCTCTAGATTAGGCTTTGGCTTAAGGGAATGTTGTGGCTGGTTTGATCTTCTGCCCAGACCACTAACACTTTCTTCATATCAGTAAGAAGGTTGTTTTGCTTTCTTATCATTTGTGTGTTCACTGGAATAACAATTTTAATTTCCTTCAAGAACTTTTCTTTTTGCATTTGTAACTTGGCTAGCTGGCCTAGGAGGCTTAGTTTTCAGCCTTGCTTGGCCTTTGACAGACCTCCCTCACTCAGCTTACTCATTTCTAGCTTTTGATTTAAAGTGAGAATTGTACTACTCTTTCTTTCACTTGAATACTTAGGGGCCCTTGTATGATTATCAATTGGCCCAACTTCAATATTGTTGTGTCTCAGGGAAGAGGGAGGCCCAAGGAGAGGGAAAAAGACCAAGAACGACTGGTCAGTGCGACAGTCAGAACACACACAACATTTAAGTTTGCCATCTTATATTAGCATCCCAAAATAATTATTATAGTATCATCAAAGAACACTGATCACGGATCACCAAAACCAATATAATAATGATGAAAATATTAGAAATACTGAGAGAATTACCAGAACGTGACACAGAGACACAAAGTGAGCAAATGTTGTTGGAGAAATGGTACTGATAGACTTGATTAATGCAGTATTGTCACAAAACTTTTATTTGTAAAAAACGCAATATCTGCAAAGTACAATAAAATGAGGTATGCCTGTATTCAGGGTGGGAGTTGCAAAAATGAAATACAGTGTATAATTTGCTCTAGGTTGTCCCTCCTATGATGGCTTTGAGCACAGTAGGTATTAGGAAAAACTTCTGACTCTGTCTAGTAACATACTGAAATATTTCAAACTGTTAACTGTAGTTTTAAAATTTATCTACATCTGTGGCATAATGTAGAGACATTAGTAAATTCTCATTATAGTTTTTTATGTGCCGACTTCTCTGTGTAATAAAATTCTGAAGATCTGGTATAGTTTGTTTTTTATTTCTTTACAAAATATTTCAGTCATTTAATGATTTACTAGCAAGAGTAATAATTTTCTTGCAAGAGTAAGGCTGGGAATTAAGAATTAATTTTGATGTTGCTTTTGGACAGTTGAAAATAAATTATATACATTCATATCTGATGTTTATAAATGACGTTAATATATATTTTATTATCTTTTGTAGTTTGTGTCTTATATATACAAGGAGTTGGAAATAAAGAATGGAGAGAGGTAAGAATTAAAATTTTTTTTAAAAATCACTGCTCTGGAAAATATGGTATAAGTTACAATTTGATGAAGATATTTTCCTGCTTTTAGTTATTTTAAGTCTTTCTAGACCCAGAGATTGAATTTCTTCTTCATTTTGTGAAAGTAACCTTTGAGTTTTATTTTTATTTATTTTAATTTTTATTTTATTGAGTTTTATTTTTAATAATCCTGAATATTTGGCTCATTTATGATGTTCCTATGGAATATTCTAACCTTGAAACTTGTATTTTCCTTAAATTCTATGTGTAATTGAGGTCTGTGGACTTAGTCTCACTTTTACAGGTCAGCTGCTGATCTTCATAAAATACCACTTTAAAGGGTTTTAAGTGTGATGCTGCTATCAACTATCACCTGCCTTTTGCCATTTAGTAACTTATTTGAAATGAAAGTAGAAACTCTGTTTCCTAACACAAATATACTTTGTTTAGTAAAGCAAAAGCAAGGAGGCAGAATTTCTACTTTAGTTCATTTGCTCTCTAGTGTATGTCTAGGTTCAAATGCAAGCACGGATGCAGGAGGGGAGCCCATTAAAATCAAAGGCCTTTCCATCTGCTCGTAGCTGCTGGTTACCTCAGGAATTTAGTGCATTGCTTTAATGAGGTCACAGTTTCTGGAGAGATTTCCCTAGTGAGGTTCACGCTATTTGCTGCCACAGATTGCTCCGCAGCCAGCCATTCTACCAATGTGTCTCAGTCGTGAGATTGAGGGTAAGAATAGATCACTGTCATTTAGTCTCAAAACTGAGGGGATAAACCAATTCGAAAACCGTCTCTGCTGATGATGGGTCGGTGGGATACTGAGCACCACTTTCTTACCCACTTGCTTCTGCATATTTCCACATGCTTATTCGGTATGTATGTGAAAGCCTGCATGTGCAAGTGTGAGCTGGCCAGGCCTGCCTCCTCTTCGCTCCCCGGGTAGCCGATAACATCACCAGCCAAAGCATCGAATTGCAGTTTTTGCAGCCATCCTTGGCTTTCTTCCTATACCTTCCTCATTTAATCAGTTATCCTGTGTTATGAATTCTTTTTCATAAAAAAAAAGTATATCGATAAGCCACCTCCTTTATTCAGACCCATGTTGTCTTTTGTCTTCTTATGAGTCTGTGTCTCTCTCGCTTGTTCCTTTAGTTATTCCTTTGACTGTTTTCCTGAAAGATAGGCTTTCTTTTGTTATTTGCTCTACAGTTGCCTTTCTCAAAGGCCTGGGACGATGCAGTGGAACTGCTGACTGACCACAGGTCAGGCTAGATAGGGCTGAGCATTTACCAGGAGTGTTTAGAAAATAACATTACTTGAGGGGCCAATACAGGAACTGAGATGAGATCCTTAGGCACAGGAACAGGCATCTGGACCCATGCAAATTCTGAAGGATGAGCCTTTCCTGTTGCCTAAGCAGTGAGATATAAATTTCTTACTTAATTTACAAGGTCTTTTGTAATAATAATGATTAATGTTGTAAGTCCTCTAGATATATTGACTAATTTAATTTGTGTAACAGCCCTAAGGAGTAGATATTATTATAATTCTTATTTTACCCATGAGGAAACTGAAGCACAGAAAGCTTAAGTGACTGATGAGAGTTACCCCGTTGTGACAAACAGAGTAGAGATTTGAACCCAGGCCATCTGGCTCTAGAGCTCGTGCTGTCAGACCACCTTGCTTTGCAGAATGCTCAGCTGATCCCAACCTTTACATTCTGGTTTTATGAATGGAAAGACATTCTATGAATTGATCTTTGGAGCTTTGTACTTGTTTTTTTAAGATTGACTCTGAAGGAAAGACAATAGGAGAGGGAGGCCTATTATTTAGGGAAAATGGCATAATTATGGACAACAGTGTGGTGACTGTGGGGGGAGGTGGGTGGGGTGGTGGAAGGGGGTATATGGGGGATAAATGGTGATGGGAAAAATAAGAATAAATAAACATGAAAACAAAACAATATTGAACATTTTAATTTTTTCTCTTTGAAGGAATAGAAAGTATTAGTAAGATGGGGTAATGCTCAAAGGGGGTATAAAAACAAAGTAGAAACGGAGAAGGTGATGAGAAATGGGACTCGGAATTATATAGAGTGGGTAGAAGCAGATGGACAATATGGGGAGATACCAGTTAAGAAGCATTTTCAATAGACAGAATTTCAAAAGAATTAAAAGTGTTAAGAATTAGAGAATGATCTGGAAGAATAGAAAGGAAATGCCAGATGCAAGAAACAAGCATTTGTAGCTAAAATCTCTTGCATTTAGCAGCTAATTGAACATGCTGGATAAAGAGAAGAGATGGAAAAATGAAATACACTATATATATTATTAACTCACCCCAAACCATTTGAGTAAGACATTTTCCTTATTTTGGGAGCCAGTGTGATATAGTGATTAAGGGAGTGCACATGTCCTCTCAGTGTCTCTGTTTCCCCCTCTGTCGCGTGGGGATTGATGGTAATGATTCTAGCTCATGTGGTTGTTCTGAGGATGAAACGTGAACCCCTGATAATGACTGTGCGCCTGGCACATAGTAAGTAAGCAATATATGATTGAGAATACATGAGGACTCTGAGATCTAAAAACTTTCATAAGCATAACAAAACTTATTAAGTGGCAGGTAAGTAAATTCCTGCATGATAAAATTCCGTAAAATTCATTGCACAAGCCCAGCAGTTGATGGGAAAATGACCTACGGGATTTACTTGGCCTCAAACCTAATATGAAGCTGTGGTATTACACAGCTGCTAAAAAGCTAATGCAATCTGAGGATTCACTGATGGATGTGCAGTGCTTACATCAAGGAGATAATGCTATTATGCTGAGCTATATGAAATTGTCATTTTTGTAGGTCAAAAATGGTAGTGTTGGCAATTTCATGTGATTCAATCAAATGCTATTGTATTATGCTTTGGTGGGAGCAAATCTATAGTGTTATTTTTCAACCATTGAAATGCTAAGTATGTATTTTAGGAGGGCTACCATCTTGAAGAAAGGTATGGAAGCTGTGCTATATCAGTGAATGAATGTTTAACCTGAAAAATACTAAGACTCCAATTGTCCTCAAATTCTTAAAGTATTTTCCTTTAGAAATGGGGGTATACTTACTTGACATTGAAACAAACAAACAAAAAGAAACCAAAAAAATTGGCTCAAAGGATGGAGAAACAAAGAGGCATTATGTAGTCCACTGTGAAGAAGACATTTATAACATTTGGAGTATCCCACAGTAGAACGGGGTTTTTTAGAACTGTATCCTGGGTCTCTAGTGTTTGTCCTACATTCAAACTAGGTGTTAGACTGATACATTAGGTAAGAAGTTGCACCTGATTGGCTCTAATTTCTTTGAAAGTCTCTGACTTTATGGTGATGTAGAGTTCAAAAGGAGTTTTCATTTTATTCATTCTATCCATTTTAGTTCACGCAAGTGTCTTTTAAGTATTGAACATTATTTTATAAGATAATAACAAAAACCAGTATAATAATGGGGGGAGAAACAAACTTTCCTCTACCCGTCTAGGTTCTTTCAGTTGGTCTAATAATCAAACAGACATGAGGCAGATTAACAAAAGAAAATGTCCAAATTTAATTACATATGTACATACGGGAACCCCACATGCGTGAAAGTTACAGACCCAATGTACATGAGAAGTTCAGAGCAGAAAGGGAAAAATGAGTTATACATGATATTCTGAGCTTAGGACGAGGTGAGGCACCTTGGGGCTTCAGAGGGGAGGAAGGTCACTGCAGGATGACAAGAAGCGTTCATGTTCAATAATTAGAAGTGTGCCCTGCCCTATTAATAGGTCATAAAAAGTTATTTCTGGTGATAATTCTTATTATAGGCAGGGTCCTTATTGAAATTCTTTAAGGAAAGGTAAAAAGTTTCTCATGAGCCTGCAGGGTCTCGATTGCCTTCAACTCAAAATAATTCCCATGCCAAAGTGGCTCGCCTTGTGGAAGCCTGGTTTGAACTCCTTTGATAATTATTCTCAGGATATTTGGAATCAGACTAGTAAAATGCTATTATAGGTGCTTGATTAATAATTTTAAATACATCCATCCATTTATCAAGTTAAGCTTTATTTCTTGGGTGGCTATCATGGGTAAAATTTTAAAATAGACAATATTTCTACCTCAAGGAGCATGCAATATAGTTGGAGAATTTTACCGGGAACTTCAGTATGTTTATATAATTAAGTTACTGGTTTAAATGTCAACACTATGTCAATAATATAGAGGTTGTATTTGTTTTTGAATTTAGATGTATTCTGGAAGAGCATGTAGTAACTAGCCACATGGTTTTATGGGATGAATTAGTCATAGATAGTAAGGAAGAATTAAAAAAAATTAGAAAGGAATCCAACATATGTTGAAACAAATGCTCCAAATAAAGTGATAGAAAAATTATTTAAATTTATTCTATAGCTGAAATCTGCAATTTTAAAATCATGTCTGACACTATTAGAATTACCTGCATATCTTCAGTAAATTCTATTTAATGATTGTGAATTATCAAAAGCTCTCAAAGTAATGGATCTTTTAAAACAAAAATTATATTTTAGTGCATAATAATTTTGGAGCTAGAAATGATACTCAAGTGTCATGAATTATGAAATATGAAAACCTCTTAGTGGCAAGTGGAAATAGCAAAGTAACATCCCTAAGGATGCACACTTGACTTTGAGAGGTTCTGAAAGTGTTGCAGTTAACTCCTTCGAGTTAAATTTTAGTTATCCATTGGTAATCTGTTCTGTGAATTACTTTTAAACACTTAAAATTATAGAGTTGGTTCCAGATTTCGTAAGTTAGTATGTGATGGAAGCAAGCAAGCTGAAGTTGTTTGTAACCCACCCTGACTGTAGTTTGGAGGCAAATTTACTGCCACACGCTGATTATTATAGTTAGACACTGTCTCTGCTTCTGTACCATTCCCTTGACGTTGAGCTATTTTAACATTTATTCATCCCCATACTGAATA